ATACCAAAGAGAGAGATGGATAGTACAATCTCGAGATGCGGGCCAAACAGTTTAAAACCAAATCATCAGGAAGCACAAGAAAATTCACCCGTCTTCTTTTAAAAGGTGGCTCTGACCCGTTCATTGATGTCCAAGTGCATACGAGAGCCATAGTTGTGTATCGGATTTGCTTTTTTGCTCTCTTAGGGTTTACAGGTTGCTTTTCACGTAAGACACCTTTTTTTTTTGAGCTTAATTAGGCTTTTTATGTCTCCCCACCGATGTCACACCAAGTCTTTATATAGGGTTCCTAATCTCAATAGGATATCAAACTTCTTTATGTATTTTGCTTTTTGTTAACTTTCCTTTTTGAGAAGGAAAAAGAAACTAATTAACAAAATTGAAAACAAACAAAAACAAAAATGGAAAGTATTAATTAGCTTCTTCCTTTAAGTTCGTCTTCACGGTGAACAACTGAACATTGACTCTATTTCTTTTTACGTAAGAGATATATTGTTATATCCATTAGCTAGTGTGCTTTGTTATTGTTTGGTAAATGTTTAATGCTGAGATATATGGAAAAGAAGAATGAGAGAGACTTTTGGAGGTTCACTCAACCATTCACAGTGTTTAAAAAACACTTAAAAGAGTTGTTCTTGGATGATCCAAGTGGATTCTCTAAGATCTTTTTCTTACTTTCATAATCCAGCGAGCTTCGGTTTTGCAGAAAATATACGGTTAAGAGTCGCTGCCAAGCGAATCCCACCTTGTGCAAGTCTCTTCTCTACAACGGGTAACCGAGAAAGGAAATACTCATCTGCATAGAAAGCAGCAGATCAATTCGTGTCCATGATAACATAAAAAAGCTACGATCTGGTTTTAGAGTAGATAGAAACTTTGAATTCAATGCTCAGAGAGTAAGTATACCTCCTAAAGTAGTCCCTGGAGTAGCGTTCCTGTAAGCATACTTGCAGGCGAGATCAATGCTTTCAGAAGCATACCTTAACACATCAAAGACCATAGAAAATCAATAATGATATGATAACGAAAACAAGATTTCTCTGCTATTCAGCAACTTAACAGATATATAGATGCTTACAGATTTGGACAGGCCTTTTGGTGAAAGTGACATGACTTCCACGACGGAACATCATTTGACCAGCCGTTCTATATTAAGACAGCCGTAAAAACATACGCTCAGTGTGAGTTGATTTTATCTTGGATATGGCTATAACTTGCTGAAGCTGATTAGAGAAGGTAAGATTGTACCTTGAGTTTGGCTTGAAGGGCTTGAATCATGCGTGGAAGGCTTGAATTGTAGTATGTTTCTAGAGCAGACTCAATTATCATGTTATCCCACACCTTCAAGTTAAGATCGTTCCAGTTCCAAGTCAAGAAAGATACTTTTTAGCATCAAGATGACCAAAAACAAAGCACTTACATGGTGCAAATTTGTTTCGTTATGGTACCAGTTGACTATTATTGTGTTACCACCTAGATCTCCAAGAAAACCAGTATGCAAGGGCTGTGAAAATCAAAATCCACATAAAGATTAGCCATACTCTGTGTTGTTACTATACACTAATCAAAGCTCCAGAGTAAATAGAGTAGCTTCAAGTGCATCTAATTTAGACAGCATTTGGTTCTTAATCTATATGATTCATCTGAATTTACAAAAGGGATTAACCTGATGAACATCTCCCATATAATGTGATAAAAACAAGAGAGCCTCTGTCAAGTTGTCTGCAAAAGAAAAAGAAAAAACACCTATAAGTCAAATTATTATGCTCCATATACTCGCACACAAATTAGTAAACTGAAACATTAAAAGAAGTATCAGATTCACTTAAAAACTAACTCACAGTGGACAATATTTGTGTTTTCAGAAGCAGACATTAATTGTTTTGTGTAATTGAAGATTGCTCCTGTCACACACCAGCCTTTATGCTTATGAGTGTCATGGCAGTCCCCTTCACAGAAGACAAAAGGACATAGAGTTGAACTTAGCAGATACATATTCAATGGAAACAGAAACATGTATGAAGATGGAGGAAAAGATAACACACGACAATATTCGTAGTTGCATCTGTCTTTAGGAGTGTTAACATAGTGCAAAGCGCTAGTCCATTGCCATTGCGAGAGTTTTTTAATTTCATCAGGCCATGAGCAAAAATCAGCTAGATCCCCATCAGCAGATTCAGGCAGAAGTTTCTTCACTGCAGCAATAGTGTCATCCTCAAAGTATCCCTGTGGATTTGGAAATTGAAAAACTGAAATCATCATCTTATCACAAAAGCTAATACCTTTTCAGTCTAAAGCAAGATCCAATCTCAAGAAATTCGATACAACTCCGAAAAACCACATTTTTCTCCATCCTAACAAATAAAGCTCCTAGATGATTTTTGTTTTCACAGTTCTCTAGAGCTAAATCAATCTTCAAGTATCTTATAACACTTTCAAGCATTTAAAACCATCAGAATCAAGCTCCTTATATCTCTAATCACAAAGAAAACTCACTTCAGCTATTTTGCAGACAGTGTAGTGACCATCCTTCCCCCAAGAGAGAGCTCCATGGAGAAGCTGTGTAAGCACGAGTACACTCACAATCCACAATCTCATTCTGAAACACAGAGCTTTCAGTTTCTTAACAATGACATAAAGTCCAGATTGAAAGAAAGAGAACAATCACGATTCAAGCAGAAATTGAAAGAAAAGTCAACGAATTACCTCAAAAAGCTTTGATCTTTGCTCTTTGCCTAGCTTCTTTGATTTTGTACTTCTACTCTCTCCATTAACCATTGTTTATTGCCACACACAGACCCACGTTTTGATTTGTTTAATCAAAATCTATAAGCTGACAGTTGTACCAGTCACTTGCTAACTAAGCAAAGCTAAGATTGAGAGAGATAACATTCCAAAGATCCTTCCTTTATCAAGTGACTTACCCTAGCACAAGCTTTAAGTCCAGATAAAGGCCCCATGGAAAGGGAAGCTTTGAAGAACGAGACTTAACAGTCTGATACCACTTCACATGTTTAGAAATCGCCTGTAAATTCCACATACCGTTTCGTAGAAGAGCTCCAAATAATTCGCGGAATCGAAATTGGGTCTCTGAAAGCCTTACAAAATCTAGCTAAAATCGCTGATTTTGATAAAACTAGACAAAGCAATGGAGAAAATAGATAAACCCCATGGTCAATGGTTTATCCGAGAATAGTACTTGATCAAATTTATTTCTATGTAAGGTACATACATAGTTGGTCCGAAACTCGGACTCAGTTGGTCCGCATCAGATTTCTTATATTATTTTTTGGTGTACAACAATAAATAACAAGCGATTCACAAAAGAATTTATATGTTCTAACCCCATCACAACCATTTTAACCCTTTAGACTTTACCACAACGGATTATGCTATGCAAAACAAGTGTATCAAACTGATCAAGTGTATCTATACTGGATAAACGGATTATGCAAAATAAGCGGAATAAAAGTGAAATAGTTATATTTAAAAATGTGGTGTGGTTAAAATAGTTATCAAAGTTTGACTAATTTATTTTAAACGTTTTAGATGCTCAAAGCTCAAAATAATTTTGTATAAATAGAATTGTCTATCAATAAACTCATGTAATTAAAAAAAAAAAAAATTCCAAAAAAATGCTAACCACATTTGATTAGCGGAAACAAATGTGAAAATGATTTTTTTTTTCTATCTATATAAGCTCTAACTACTTCTAGTTTTATATCAATCTTGGATCGTTGTCCTACAGTAAACATACTCTTACCGTTTTATGATAGCAATTATACTATGCAATATTTTTGAAATGAATTAAAGTATGAGTTGACCAAAAAGAAAAAAAAAAAAAGTTGGTATCTATTTATCAAATCGGGATACGATATTTCATAATCTTATGATGTGATCCATCAGTAAATAGAATCAAAGTTAACTTTAACGCTTTAGTTAGCCTACCTGTTTTCTTTTCTTTAGCAATTCATAATAAATGAGTTTTAGTAATATAAATAAATATGTTTCCAATTATTCCAAATTTTACAAAACAAATTCTTGTTTATCCTATAGAAACATTGTTCATCTTCCCCATTTATATATGGTAAAGATTTAGCTGCTAATGCATTTTTTTGTTGAAGATCTAATTAATTAGATAGTCTTTTACTAATTTTTAGCCAAATGATTTATTTGGCAATGTGTTTATAAGAAGCTTAATATGGCATGAAACCGGTTTCTCCCAATTAATCGATTGGGAGCTATAACACAAATCGAAACTCTCTAGTAAGTAAAAAGAAGGTAATAGCTTTGGCTCACATATTCTTTTTTTTTTTTTTTTGAACAAATGGCTCACATATTCACATGTATTATTATTTAGTGCTCCCTTCACAATGTGATGAGTCTCCAAGTAATATATTCTCAACTCAAAAGGACAATCTGGAATTTTCAATTTATATTCCATTCTATCCGCAAAAATTGAAATTAGTGGCAATGTTTTAAAAAGGGCTATTTATAAAGAATCTTTTTATATTGTTTCTGCGACAATCGAGAACTTCTTTTGTTGATCAACCCCACACGACTATGATTCCAATCCTAAGAAACATACGACACGTGGATTTTTATGTCGCAGTACAATGACTTTGGAGTACGATTACGAATAATAGTATTCACATAAAATTTTAATTCGAATTTGATAATATAAGGTCAGCCAATCTTTTAAAGTAATTATATTCTTCAATATACGGTTGTGGTCAAAATTCCCTTGCTTGCATGCACTAATAGTCTAAAAACCATGCATGGATTTATTAATTGCAAATAATATATATTATGTAAAATTCTTTAAACTTTCAATTAAACCGTCCACACATTTCCCATTTCAAATATGCCTATAAATACCTTCATCACGAGTAAAGGTTTTGACATGACAAGAACACAAGATATAATAAGAGAGGTAGAGAAAAAAATAATGATGATGATGAGTCTCTAGTTGTATCAGAGGGTCTTGCATGGAAGAGTAGAGAATGAGGTTGAGCCAAGGATGACTTGCCGGGTTTTTTACCAATGAATCTTAACTGATTTTGGTGTCCGGCAAGTTGACCTTGGCTCTGTTTCCTTTTCTTCTTTTCGATGTCAGACTCCGGGATATATATATTTCATCATCGTCATGAATCGTGATCAAACTTTCTAATTTCATTGAAATGTGCTTTTCTTTTGCAAGGATTTGATGCATGCTAATAGTTTGTTTTGCGCCGTAAATTCTTTTATTCTAAGTAAATGTGGATAATTTGGTTTATGGTTTATCGATTTGAATTATTAGGTTTTTGTTTTTACACTAAAACTAGTTTCACTTAGGTTTTGGTTTTTGAGGTTTTAAAAATGATAAAACCAGTCAAATTTAAACAGCTTGGTTTTGGTTTAGTTCAGTTTGATTTTCCAAGTCCACCCTTAATCCCAGTGCTTAGATGTTGACAGTTTGGTTTCATACTTATTATAGTTAAAACTCAGGAACAATAGCAAACCATAACCTTAACTACCATTACACATTACAAAAAGAGTGTTCTTGGATGTTCAATTGATTTTATTGGAATTGGATCTTTTTTCATATCCAATTGATTTGATTGGAATTTGCTTACGGCTAGAGTATGAAAAAAGATCCAATTCCAATCCTAAACCCCACAATAAGCGTACTACCAGATTAAGTATACCTCCTAAAGTAGTCCCTGCGGTGGCATTCCTGTAAGCATACTTGCAGGCAAGATCAATGCTTTCAGAAGCATACCTTAACACATAAAAGAACATAGAGAATCAAGAATGGTGATATAAGAAAATTAGATCATGATGACTAAAACCATATTTCTCTGTTAATCAGCTACTTTTACAGATCTTCCACCGCGAATTCTTGCAATTAACATCAATGGAAATGAAAAATTATATGCACATTTTATATATGCTTACGGATTTGGGCAGGCCGTTTGGTTAAGTTGACAAGACTCCCATGAAGGTACATCATTTGACCAGCCGTTCTATATGAAGCTAGCAGTTAAAACAAACAACAAATGCGATTTGAGTTTGATCTGCTTGGAAATGGTTATAACTTGCTGAAGCTGATTACAGAAAGTAAGATTGTACCTTGAGTTTGGCTTGAAGGGATTGAATCATGCGTGGAAGGCTTGAATTGTAGTATGTTTCTAGAGCAGACTCAATTATCATGTCATCCCGCACCTTCACAATCAAAGGGATTCACAAGTTGGATCACTAGAAATATTAAAGACTAAAATTTTCTTGATCTTGGTAACTTCCAAAGTTTAGATCTTTCAAGACAATCAGAAGAAATATAACGTTTTAGCATCAACATAATCGACAACAAAACACTTACACGGTGCAAATTAGTTTCGTGATTGTACCAGTGGACTTTATTTTGTTACCACCTAGATCTCCAATAATTTGTGTGACTAGTTACTCCTCTTATGTCATTTCCTATACACAAATCTCAGCTGCAATGTAACTAGAGTAGCCTCAAATGCATATAACTCAGAACATCACTTGGTTTCTAATATGATTAGACTGAATTTGCAAAAGGGATCAATTAACCTGATGGATATCTCCCATATAATGTGATAAGAACATGATAGCCTCTGTTAAGTTATCTACAAAAGAAAAGAAAACTAGTCACACAAATTTGTAAACTGAAACATAAAAATAAAGTTATCAGATTAACTAATTAATATAACTCACAGTGGACTATATATATTCTTTGAGTTTTCAGAAGCAGACATTAGTTGGTTTGTGTAATTGAAGATTGCTCCTGTCACACACCAGTCTTTAGGACAGTCCCCTTCAAAGAAAGACAAAAAAGCACATAATACTTTTATGCCAGAGACAAACAGAAACATGAATGAAATTAGAAAGTAAAGATCAATAGAAAGTTTCAACACAGTAAACAAAAATGAGGGTTTTAGTGTAGAAAAATGAGAGGCGGATTCAAGCAGAGCCTTGAAACTTTTTTTTTGATTTTCTCTACTCCATAAAGACAATTCTTCCATTGATGGTACTATGTATTCATTTTGGTGGAATAATAACAACAAATAATAATAGTTTTTGTTTTGTCCACGTTATATTTGTTTACTCAAAATGTATGAACATACTGTTGAGTCATTAAAAGCGAGTCTCAACCCAAACATTTCTGTAAAGAACATATATATTTTATTTCCAAATTCAGTGTGATATGATATCTACGTGTTATTTGGTTGTTGGGTGATTAAAATAAAATAAAGATATCAATTAGGAAAGCATCCTTTGGAACCTGAGAAGGTGATAAAAGACTAACTAAAGGATGTATCTTAAGAGAAGATTACACAAATGGTCTAATAAAGAAGCAAAAATGATGGAGTTAGGTTTAGGAGAAGAATAGTTCCAAACTTTATAATAGTCAAAGATTTACCTAATTTGTTCCAAGAGTAAAAAGAAGACTAAAGGACAATTCTTAGTTAAGCCTAAGCATTACCATAAACTTAACTAAGCATTACATGAGCTAATAGAGTGACTGCATATGGTTCTTGGGGATATTTTTCTCAATATCATGATCCAGCATGCTTAGGTTTTGAAGAAAAGATACGATTAAGAGTAGCAGCCAAGCGTATCCCACCTTGTGCAAGTCTCTTCTCCACAATGGGTAACCGAGAGAGGAAATAGTCATCTGCAGAACAAACACGAGAGAAAGCCAAAGATCACAGTATTGCATACAAGTCTATAACTGAGATGAACATGTATGGTAAAGAGAGCTAAGATTTTGTTTCAGAGTGGATACTGATTGTTCAAAGATAAGCTAATATGTCCTAGAAACTTTGAATTCAATGCTGAGAGAGGATACCTCCTAAAGTAGTCCCTGGGGTAGCGTTCCTATAGGCATATTTGCAGGCTAGATTTATGCTTTCAGATGCATACCTGAACACATCCAGAACCGTATTAAATCAACAATGATGTAATTAGGAAAAACAATATGAAAGCTACAACCAGAATTCTCTGCTATTCATCAACTTTCTAGATCTCTTAATTAACACCAAATATTATCCGTTTTTCTACGTTTAACACCGCTGGTCCGCTGCAAAGGACTAATTATATACTAATCTTGATTCTTGACAGAAAATGATATATCTGTATGCTTACGGATTTGGACAAGCCGTTTGGTTAAGTTGACATGTCTCCCACGACGGAACATCATTAGACCAGCCATGCTATATTCAGGCAATAGTTTAAGCAAATAATCAATACGAGTTGATTGGTTAATACATACTGGCACCGTAGCTTCATAAAGTAAGATCGTACCGTAAGATTGGTTTGAAGTGCTTGAATGAAGAGTGGAAGACTTTTATTGTAGTATGTTTTAAGAGCAGACTCAATAATCATGTTATCCCAGACCTTCATCAGTGGAAGATCATAAGAACATAAACTTTAGAACGTTTCAGTTACGAGGTTTATCCAATAAGGAAAGATAAATTTTTCTTTTAGGATAGATATGATCGATAACAGACACTTACATGGTGCAAATTTGTTTTGCGACGGTACCAGCGGACTGTTATAGTGTTTCCACCTTCATCTCCCAGAAAACCAACATGCAAGGGCTGAGTAGATTACATATAATTCAGATACAGAACTTGTTCTGATATGATTCCTTTAAATGGCAAAGAGATTTACCTGATGAACATCTCCCATATAATGTGATAAGAACATGAGAGCCTCTGTCAAGTTGTCTGCAAACAAAGACTAGTCACGTCCCTAAGCTCCATAGAACTCAAAATGAAGTTTAGTATCGAATCCACTATAATCTCACTCACAGTGGACTATAGTATGCGAGTTTTCAGAAGCGGACATAAGTTGCATAGTGTAATTAAAAATCGCTCCAGTCACACACCGGTCTTGATGCTTATGAGTATCATGGCAATCCCCTACACAAAGACCACAACATAAAGATTGGATTTCGGATATGAAAACAGGAAAAAACAGGTAAGCAATTGGAAGAAGGAAAGAATAAACGAACGACAATACTCGTAGTTGCATCTGTAATCAGGTGTATCAACATAGTGCAAAGGGCTAGTCCACCTCCATTGCCAATGATGTTTAATCTCATCAGGCCATGAGCAAACTGATGCTAGATCACCATCAGCTGATTCAGGTAAAAGTTTCTTCACTGCAGCTACAGTTTCTTCTTCAAAGTAGCTCTAAGGATTGAAAAAATGGCATTATCAGAGATATCACAAAAGATACTATCTTGTCTGCAGAAACATTCAATCCCAATAAAAAGCTATAGTTTTTAGCTAGACTCTACCATAACAGTAATCTTCAATTTGGTATTAAAAGTTCTCAAATTTCGTAAAATCAGAGTGATTTTAGCAACTTTAGGGTTCGAGCTCAGAATCTAATTAAACAAAAATTCTTTCAAATTTGACCTCGGCTATTTTGCAGACGGTGTAGTGACCTTCTTTCCCCCAACACAGAGCACCATTGATGAGCTGTGTAAGCACGAGTAGTGTAGCAAACCACAGTCGTAGCGACGAACTCATTCTGAAACAATTACAAAGTTTCGATTTTTGCTGAAACAAGGTTATGTTGCTCGATTTTGCAAAATTTTGAAATTGGGACCGATCAAAACGAGAAGTCAAACTGTTGCCTTGATCTTGGTCTTTTCCCTCAGGTGGTAAATAAATAAATACTAATTAAATCAACAGTTGTTGACAAAATAAAAAAAAAAAAAAAAAATCAACAGTTAACAAAAAGAAATACTCCAAAATATAACAAAATTTTGTAAAGTTTAAATTCTAATTTCTAAAGCAATTGACACCAGATAAGACATAAGAGGACGTATTTGATCATTTTCAATTTAATAGGATTAGGTCATTTGTTGATTCAACAGGGTACACAACACACGAGCTTATCTGATATTTAAGTTACATAGTCTTTTTGAACAAATCAGAGATAAAGAAAGCCAACAAACAAACTTTCGTAGATATATCTATGAACACAGTTGACCAGATTTTATTGATTATTCAAGATGATTTTTGTCTCTCAACATTTCTCCCTTTGCAGAGGATCAGGTCTCAAGCAGAATCTTACCAATATGGT